ATTTAACCAGCCTGAATTTTGTGAGGAGCTCACAGATCCTTGAAATATCTGGTCACAGTCCCATAAGTGAACTCCTCTGGCAGACAAGGCTGCGTTGGCTGGGTCTTATAGCCCACATACCCAGCTACTGCATGCCCAAGCAGCTTCTGCTCAGCCGGATAGAGAGGGCTAAATGCGCATGGCACAGACTGATGTGGTCTAGAAGGATGTGGAGCCAGTCAGACTAGCTGATGACATATAGGCTTTTGCGACCAATATTATTCATAATAAATGTTTTTAGGGTTATAGCACATAAATATAAATGTGTCGTTAACCCACCACCACCCAACACAGCCAAAAACCTTCATTATGAATAGCCGATGACTCGTACTAACGATGTCAAGATCGGCCTCTGTGGAGGAGGTTCGTTAAGGACGCTACTGAGTAGTTAGAGGCAGTTTCCCTTCAACAACAATGGACAGCAAAGGAGCAACGCTTAAAACAACGGGCGGAGCGCCGGTCAGCTAAAACGAAGCAAGTTGGACAATGGGGACTACAGGTGGTGTATCTGCCAATCATCTCAGTCAGCCATCCTTCACACCTGGGTCTGTTCTGTCACCCCCTGCCAGCGAGCGTTCGACACTTCACGTGGCCTCAAGTTGCACCTAGCCTGATGCAAGCTACATGGTGATGTCACCGCCACTTATTGGCAAATGTCTCTTGTATCCACGAACATGGCTGGGGTGGAGCAATTTTGTAGGGGTCAGCGTGCTGCACTATGAACCCAGGAAACCGAGTTCGATTACCGCTCACAGCCAACATTCGGTGACATATCTGAACCAGTCCTGGGCCTCCCCAAGGTAGACTCAGGTTTAAATGAGTACATGATGTGGCGTGTAAACAGCATTGGGGATACAAAGGCACCCGGGCTTGGTCCTGGCCAACCACCCACGTATGTGTTGTTCTGCCATTAATCAGTGCTTGCTAACAGTACATGATCCTAGAGTATTTTAAAGCCTATACCGGGGATCTCTGCCTTTCTATACACACACTACCAAAACCTTGGATAAAACCGGGGAACCTTAAATGTCTGAGACGCTCCCTACTGAGGGGAGCGTTAATGCAGCGGTTAGTTCACTGCATGACAAACCTGGCGACCGGTATTAAATTCCCGGCCATGGCTAACATCAGTGGTGATTAACATGACCGGACCTGGGCCTCCCCTTGGTTGAATCAGCCTTAAAATGGTACTTGGTGCAGTGTGTAAACCACACGTGCTGGGGACACAAGGGTGGCTTTGTGTCCTGGGGGCGACCGCCGTGCATGCCGTGCTGCTACCTTACGAGGTGCTAGCTAATAGGACTAGCCACGACAGAGCAAAAATAAACTCACTTTTCATCTCCTGCAAGTGTGGAAAAGGTTTTTCGATGGCCTGTTCTGCACCATGCCCAAGGTGATCTAATCTATCAGTGTCCAACAAGAGTGCGCTGCAAGATTAGCATCGTCTTAACAACCACTGTGGACAGTTAAACCAGCAGTCACGGGTCTGCACAGATCCTTCAACTGAAACACCGCAACGAATGAAGAATCAAGTTAAGGCAATTCAGCTAGAAATTGGATTACACATTGTATTGATTAGCGCATTTTTCCTATTGAGTAGGTGGGTCCTCCCTATATTTTTGTGCTGGCTATTTCACGGGGAAAATCAGTTTCAGGCCCTGGATTACTTTGAAATTGGTTCTTGCTGTGATTGTCAGAGAAACATTGCAAACATTACCATGTGAGTGTATTTTCTATAGCAAAGCCTAAAGACCAGTATTTGTTGATAAATGATGCGGAGCCAAGACATAAATAGAAATACATTAAAGGCAATAGTTCAAAATAGCCCATTGCAATGTAGGAATTTGGTCTGCAGATACATAGCTCAGAGGTGCCAGAATAGAATTGTATTGTGGGATACTTCCTTACCAATAATATGCGTATTATGATATGTCCAATATTTATCACACAAAACAATGTTGTTGCCTGGGATATTTAATAAAATAATATTACTTGCTGTACCAAGATGCAATGATGAATCACCAGAAATGTATCACAAAACCGATGTGTTGTATTTGTCATATGCTCCACTCCAAAATAATCATATCCAATCCTGGTATGTACATGTAGGTTCAACTTCTTCCTCACCATACGTATCCAACCATGCTAATCACATTTGTGACGTGAAAACACCAACCATTTGAGAATTATAGTAAAATGTTTTATCCATAGCCTTCTCATCCACAACTATTTACAGTGTATAGCTGAGCCACAATTCCTCCAAATTACTCGCAGATTGACCTTCCTCTTGTCTGAAATTTCCCAGATCGGAAGATCAGGTCATTTTGTTACCGATGATTGTTTATTATTGTTATTATGCTTGTTTATCCAGGAATGCCTCATTGAGTTTCAAGACATTTTCTTGAGTATCTCAGCAAGTTTTTTTTTTCAGTACAGGGAAATGTTTCCATGTGTAATCCTTGTAATTTGCAACACATTTTCAGCATTGGAATGTTTGTACGATACCAGTAAATGCGTACGTTTTTCTGCTGAGGGATACAACCAGAAAACCCAAAGGAAACCTATGCATAAAAAAGGGAAGAAAGTACAGCCTCCACACAGCAAGGGACCCGTGTCGCGAATTAACCCCAGCCCCTTCTTGCTTTGAGGCACAAGTGTTACCATTGTGCCACCCTATGCCACCCTACCGATACCTCAAAGATCAGAAATGGTGAATATGATGATGGATGACTAGCCTTAAAATGATGGTTGATTGCAGCCCACCGTAAATAATGTATAATCAAGATGGTAATTATTTCCTGCTTCTGCCATCGGCAGTCCTTGCCAGTGAGATGGCTGGCTCGCTAGCATAGACAGTGGCGTGACACTCAAGAGAGGTTGGAAACCACGTGTGAGGTGAACAACGTTTAGCACACACGAGAATGTATGTATGTTGAACTTTTTTTCACATCGTACATACTGTAGCCAACCATGCTAATCCGAGGTGCGAGAAGAACTGGAAGGAAGGTCATGGATATGGCAATAACTGATGATGATGGACGCTGAAGATAATGCAACAATGGCTCAATATAGTTTTCGGATACGTTTGTGGGTTGTACCATGTGTTGTTCGGCATTATTTTACTTGTTTACCCAGGGCATTCTTACTGAGTGCCAACCATTTTTCAAGAGGGTCCTAAGTATTATCAGTCGGGGGAGATGATTGCTGATGTTTAGTTTGTTGTCCTTCCTCCACACTTAATTAGCATGCTCGGCTACGTACGGTGCGAAATAAGTTTTCATAATGTGTTACACAAATAAGCGATCTGTGAGTAAATCTTCAAATCGATCATATTTTGACCATGATTTCGTCACACGATGGCCTACTCTTTTGGAATAACGTCACGGGATCTTTATTGTCCGCTGTGAAGCAGACGGAAAGATGTGAAACGTTTAACTGCCAGATGGCGGATGATGATAACGAAGTCATGGCATTTAGGATGTAACTTTTCAAAGCATTCACCAGTCGTTCAACAATGGGACTGCGAGGTACAGCCTACTGCACTACACTGCTCTAAACCACAGGGGCCGTCCATAAATGACGTCACGCGATTTTGGACGATTGTTTGAAAAGTCAGACCCCCCCCTAAAATATGACGTCACAAAGCTATGTCCCCCCCCCCCAAAAAAAAATGCTTCAAATCGTTTTAAACTATTGTCATTGTAGTGCGTATTTAATGTGCCGCTGCACTCTGATGTTGTAGGAGAAAACATTGATACAAAAGTCTATTTAAGAAATAGACTAAGTAGAACGTGTTGTCTATTTTTATTTAAAGTTACGCATTTTTATGTGACGTCACATTTCTCAACCCCCCCCCCCTCGTCACACATCGTCACACATCGTCACAAATGTCTGACCTCCCCCCCACCCCCTAGGTGTGTGACGTCATTTATGGACAGCCCCACACTGCATCGCATGCTACATTCATCCTGTTATCCACATATATAATGCTAAGTTGGCACAGAGAGGAGAAGAATTGTATATATATAATAGTATAACCATGTCCATCCGGTACTCGATGAGTTGGATTGGCTTCCCGTTTCTGAATTCATACATTTTAAGGTCGCACTAATTACTAACAAAGTGCTTGCCACAAATGAACCACAATACCTTGCTGAGCATAAACCATCAAGCAAACTCTGGTCATCCTCGGTCACTGCATCGCGCACTTTCAGATGCGCTTCTGGGGCCGTCTGGAATGCTCTTCCTTCTGATATTAGGATGCCACTGGAGCTATGCACTTTTAAATCTAGACTTAAAACTAATTTATTTAGACCTGCTTTTTGTATTTACTTTGTTCTCCTTCCCGCGCACCTATGATTAGCACGGTTGGCTTACATACGGTGCAAAAGAAGTTCAACATGCATACATACGAGTGAAACTTCGAAGGTTAAGAACAATGATGGAGTGGCAGCCAAGAAACGAAACATGTCCAAGAGTGCTTCCACCAGGGGGATGGAGCGATGAAATCAGCCTGTGTGCCGGTGCTAGGTGGGTTGTTACATTACAGTATCGTGAGAGACGATGGTTGATTAGAGAGACCTTCATCCAGCAGTGGATTGACCATAGCTGGTGATGATGTTGAAAGTAATTTTAAGTAATAACCAATACTGGATTAGCACAATGCATAAAATGAATAGGTCCATTTTCATAATTCATTTTAAAAGGTACATAAACTTGATTCGTTTTTAGAGTGGCATTATTTTTTACATTTGTCAAGATGTGATATTGTGTGCAAAAGAAATAACCATGGTAATTTAGGATACAATAAATTATTTCCCTAATGTGAACGATAATTTTAATTACTTCTAAAAACATATGTATTCTCATTGTAAAGTGGACAAAAGTATATATGAAACTAACAAACATGCATAATTTCCATATCAATATAACCACCACATGACACTGAAGCATTATCATACCTTAATAATGTCCTCATCCTCCGACTGGCAGTGGGCATGCTGGGATACATCTGACAAATGGCCGTCTGTTCCCATGGTGACAACTCTCAAAGGCACAATCACAGGCCTGCCTGTCAGCACTGCTGTGTTCACCAACTCTGGTTTCTGCAAAGAACAGAGGCCAGGGTGAATGGTTGCATACATTATAATATAAACAAAACACACGTTAATTTTCACACGGTTGCGCCATAGAAACGTAATAAATTCGAAATACGCAAACACGATTCGACTATTAAAACACCTTCGTGATTAATAATTTAAAACAGCAATGTCAACATCGACCTTATTTGGTTGACTAATTCGATTTCTGTAAGTGCACTGATCAATTGGTATTGAACATGATGCTGCCGTGGTATCATGGTTAACACACTGGACTTGCAATCCAGAGGTCCTTGATTCATGTGTGGTGCCACCGCGGCGGAGTAGCTCCGTCGAGGACCGTACCCACCGCCGCGTCGCCCCCCCTTCCCCCCCCCCCGCACGAACGCACACACCCCCCACGTAGAGCCGGAAGGGGAGATCACCTGGCCGATAGGTTTTTTTTCCAGAAGCCCCTAATGGGATTAAGTTTCATGGTTTCCTGCAGCCGGGAAATTGGGTGATCTCCCCCCCGTAGCTGACGTGCACCGCAGCGCCATGACCTGATATCAAAGTTACGTGGCCACGGTGGAGGCCGCATAGCCGGGCGGATGCAATCACACACACACACACGGCACGGAGTGTGAGAACGGCGGTACGCCTTTGTCATAGGTAGCATCAGAAACCCCAATAACAATGCGACAGGAGCATTCCGACATCTGAATGGACAGGGCCACCTGGGGTGTGAGAACCGCGGTGCACCTTTATTACAGATGGGATTAGGGACCCCCATAACAACGAGACCAGAGCATTCCGAAATCTGAATGGACAAGGCAACACGAGGCATGGAACCGGCGGAACGCTTTCGTTGCAGGTAAAGGTCACGGATCAGCATGCGAAAGAGACGAAAATAACTCAGCCTCTGAATGGACAGGGCAGGCACGGGTGCGGAAGCATCTGAATGCCTATTGTTCCAGGTAAGGTCACGGACCTGAATATGAAGGAGCACGGGTAGGCAGGCGCGAAAACAACGGAATGCCTTTAGGGTGGATAAAAACGCGGAGGCTTAGGGTAGCAGGAGATCTTCTTCTTCAAAATCATCGCGGTCCATGGAGCAGGGGAGTCAGCCGTTCGGGACGTCCATGTGTGTGCCCCAGCGCAGCCAAGCTCAACCCTCTACGGAGACGACCCACAGCATCGTCCTTCCACAGCGTTCAGCGCAGTAGAGTGGAAGTAAGCGTGAGTAAGAGAGAGAGGTAAGTCTGGGCTAGTTAAGCGAGGGTAGAGAGCGCAGCGGTAGGCAGAATAAATCGAAGCTGGGATCCTCAAAGGGTTAGCGTTAGCGTTTACTGACTCACACAATCACACGTAGTTTAACGGGTTGCTCACGGTTAATAAAATCACTAGTAAGGGGGATAAAACTGTGTCGCGTGGTCTCTGGGAGTGTGCAGAGGAGGGTAGAGAGTGTTTTTGTGTTTGCGCGCATACGCGGCTGTTTGCGGCGAATAAGGGAGTAGCGCTTTGCGCTCGCGTGCGTGCGTGCGTGGTTGTTTACAACGAGGCGGAGCGCTTAGCGTGCGTGTGCCTATGCGGCTGTGTACGGTGGTGGTTAGTGCTCGCGTAACCGTGCGACTGTTCACGACAGTGCTTAGCGCGCTGGGTGTTCGCATGCAGATGCGGTTGCCTTCCACGAAGCGGAGTGTTCAGTGTGCGCGTGCCTACGCGTCTGGTTTCAGTGGCGTTTAGCGCTCACGTACCTGTACGATTGCTCGCGCGCCGGTGAGACGGTGTTGCGGTCGCGTGCCTGCGCGGTTGTCTCTAGCGAAGTAGCGAACTAAGCGCCTGGCGTGCGCGTTTTCGCCCGGCTGTGTAAACGGCCCCTTTAAATCGGCGCGAAGTGATCGCGGCGTGTTTGTTTTTGCTTGCGCACGTGGAGCGTGAGTGGGAGGGAATCCTGCGGCGGCGCGCCGCGCCTGTTTATTCACGTGCAGGACGGGGTTTTACTTTGCGAGCGTGCTCACCGCGGCACGCCGCCGTTGAACAGCGTAGCGCATCGTAAGCGTAGAGCAATTGGTCGCATCGATTGAAACATGCCGACGCGATCAGCAACACAGTCAGGGGCACAGGAGGGCAAGGAAGTGGGGGCCGGTAGCCTGGACCCGACAGAGCAGCCGGGGGGTAGTGGGACAAATGTAGCGGGGGAGTCGGGAGCCAACGGCCCCGACAATTCGGTGATGGCGGGGGACGTTCGCCCCCACACATGCACCTGACGTGACAGTTGAAACAATGGGTGAGTATTTTAAATCCCTCCACCTCTGTCCACCCAGCAGTATATATGGGTTCACCACAGTTCGTCCATCAGAAGGTCACGGTTTGCGAGATGTTAACTACCTCGGCTGGTATACAGGAGGTGATGCGTTCAATCCTGACCCTGTCACCTGTATATTTGGAGTTTGCATATCCTCCCCGTGGTCGCATGGATTGTTCTTCAGGTTCTCTGGTTTTCCCCTCCACATTTAGAAATATGCATCTAGAGTATTTGGCTGCTGTACATTTCGACGTAGTAACCCACTCCGTTGAGCTATCATTTGTGGCCAGTTCACTTCTGAAAAATAACTATATAGTTCAGTGGACCTTACCTGGTAAAATACAAATAGTTTAGTTTTAGTTTAGTTTTTAGACATGTAGTGCAATAAAGTATGGGTGCTCCCACCACCTCCAAAACGTCTGGCAAGCATGGAAGATTAGGCCAAAGTCTATTCTCGAGGCGTTCTCTTGAGCTTGTCTAGTGTAGGCCCTTTTACCAGAAGTGGTGTGAAGAAGACAATGCAGAGCTCCACCTTTACCATTTACTTACTCTTCAATTCACATCTAAAGTTTCAAACCATATTGTAATTCTGCAAATACCTGTTTTTAAGCTACTTCGCAAGATGTGAAAGGCTGCCTTTTTTGGAATAATCCACACACGTGATGTGATGTGCACATAGAATGCAGCTGGAAAATGAAACGTTGTCCTAGCTGCGAGGGAAGGTTATATTGTGTATAGGACAGACACACCGGTTTCTTATCCGACATTTGGAACAGTATTTTGGGAAAGAGGCGTTTTGCATTCCTTTCCACACTGTTTATCTGACAATACAACGAAGTCCAATATCCAAGTCATCATAAAACAGTCATGAGTATGAGTAAATGGTGCACAGGAACGTCCTCCAACATTAACGCTGTTAAATTATTAATCTAAGTTTACATGAATCCAACGTCTTTCAGGCATTCTTATTTACAGCTGATGTGACTGCAATTAAGAATAAAAATTAAATTACCTATGAATTTATCATTTTATATTAAATAAAAATGCTAAAACCTTTTCGCGGAGTTATTGTTCCCCTCCAATGTCGATCGGCGGGCGTGTTGTACCGGACTCAGTTTTTGTCACAATTTTTTTAAATGCTACAACGTTGCTAGGTTCGCAATTCCATTCATATATATGGCAATATGCTCAGGAGTTGAATGCCAATGTCAAGGTCTGCTAGCCACGAGAAGGTTGCTGGAGAGAGTGTGTGTAGTTTCGCTATTCCTCCATTGATGGACCACAGACTACAGTGGTTTACTATATGGTCCATAGGTTGAGTTGCATGGTCACAATAACACCGTGGCTGTCTTTAATTTTTCATTGAAGTCAATGCATTTGAGCTGCTTACAGTCAGAAGCAGGGGTGTATAAAACAGAGCACCTGAAATGAATACAATGAAAAGCCTCTCTGGATTCACGAAATGCATAAACATTTTTTGGTGATTTTTGTTTATCAAATTTTGGGAATGTTTTGTCACTAAATATTCAACATTTTCAGATGTTAGTAATTGATAGAATTATGTATTTTTGCATGCGTGGATGTGTATTTTCCGTTTCTGAAGAAGCTAAAGGCACGTGGGGCAAAACGTCGGACATCACTCCAAACAGCACGTGGTACAACTCGATAACACATTGGAGTACTAATACGTACGATTCACTCTTGAAAGTCCTTGGTGTGTGTATATATGTGTACTTAAAGTGCAATAGATTTCTTAACTGTAATTAACTTCAAAAAAGTGCAAGTGTAGTATTTGTTGTATAATAAAATCAATACAATATTTGTTATTAAGTAGTGATTAAAGCGTCTCGATTACCGTTCTACCTCCCCCCCATTTAAACATTCACTTTTCCTGCTAACCCCAACCTGAGTGGTGCAGTGAGCCCAATCCACCCTCTCTTCACCAAGCCCTGCCCCGGTGTCGATCTCGGGACTTTTTATGTCCACCACCAACGCCCCTTTCTTGTCTTGTTCTATGATCAGTGCTCTGTACCGGGCTTGTGTTGAGTTGAAATAAAAAAAAACATAAAAAAACTATAATAAATATTAATAATGATTAACATCCAATTATAATTACCTGATGATGGATTGGGTTTTCTATCTGAGTGATTGGATCAAACAAAATGTGTAATTAATCCAATCAGCTCCAATATGGATTCAGGGTCCGATCATACCCGATGTGATCAGGGCCCATTTGATCAAAAGTGTTATTTCTTAAATGCTTATGCCTAAAAAGTATAGAAAATGGCTATTATTCCCCACAAATTTTGATTTTGTGACCAGGACAGTGATATTTTGAAATGTACCTATTTTAAATAAGAAAACGGGCGAATGTGTGTCTTTTCGTTCATGTAAAGTCAGAAAAAACAACATATGAATCAAAATGAACTTGTATTTATACTAAAGAAATGCAAAAATTACAACAAAAGATGTAGAAGTTAGTAGTTTTTCGAGATTTACGATTATACTGTAAATCACTTTCACAAATCAGCCCCCAAATGTAGCCTCCATTAATTTTCTCGTTATATTGTCCTTGGTAGCAGCATTCAAAGTCCAGTGTATCCTAGTGGAAGCGCTCGCCTTGCTCCTCCGAGTCCGCTCCCATGTTCTCCTTGAATGTATCAAGATGAGCATCAAGGATATGGACTTTGAGGGACATCCTACAGCCCATTGTGCCGTA